GCGCCTTGCCGAGGTGGAGCGGGCAACTGCTCGTTAGCTGTTTGAGCACCCGCGCCAGCTCCCCCGCGCAAAGTGGCTCCCCAGCGAAACGCTGCCCCTGCTCGGGACACGGCGCAAGTGATCTCAGATTCGTCGACGACTTGGATGAGCGTTTTTAGTGGGTCGTGGTTTATGACGGCCGCCTGCTGGCCGCCGAGCGCTGCAAATGCTGCGACGAGGTTGTCTTTAAACGCAGTGTGGCTGCGGGGCGCGAGGCGGATGAGGCGGAGCGCCCGCGTGAGCGCGGTCGACTCGCTGAGCGCCGCATGGAAGTACTGCACCAGAAACCCAATCGGTTCTGCACGGAAGAGTGGAGGGAGGGGTGGCGGAGAGGAGGGGGGAGTCGCTGCTGAAACCATGGACGCGAGCCTCGCACCTGCTGGTCGGTTCTCGAGCAGCAGCGCGAGCGCGTCGCGCATGTACGGCGCAACGCCGCACCGATCAAGGTACTCCTCGCCGTCGAAGGACGAGGTGCGCTGCGGCTCGCCGCCCCAGGTTGTGATGCGCATGTATTTAATGTGCGCCACACGCACGACCGGCACGGCACGGTCGGTTAGGTAGGTAACGACAACGAGAACAGGTCGCGACAAGGTCGCGATACCTCGCAATGGAATTTTACAACAACAAAGCTCCCTCGGGACTGGCGCGCACTGGCATTAACACAGGGTGTCGCCAACCAAAGCGACACGCACTCGAGGGTAGTGCCGACGGGACGCAGCTCGAGGGCGACTCTCGCGAAGGCACGGCTGGCAACCGTGGCGTGGGGCTCGCGTTCGACAAGACCGGGATCGCTCTACCGGCAAACCTCTCGCTGACATGCGCGCCCCGTCGAGCTGACGGCGGGCGCGCTGAGGTCGCACGCCAAGCCAAGTTATATGCCAATGGCATGCGATCAAGAATCGGCTCACGCGCCTCTACTCGCATACGCTCACCCTAGAATTGTCACCGCCAGTGAGTGCGAGATAGGGCTAGCGGCTGGCGGCTAGCCCCTGAGGAGAGTGACCAGAGACACCTCACATGACCCCATCTAGTCCGGCCTCGCGGTCGGCGGAGATTGCTAGAGGACGAGCAAGACTGCTCCAGCCTCACGCGCTCGCCCCTGTCGTCTGTTGTGTTGTTGTGCCCTTGTTTGTTCCTTCGGCGACTTGGCTGGGGGAGACGACAGGGGGGGTGCGCGGCCTTGAGTTATGTGTACGCCAACTCAGGGTGTGTGGCAGCCAGCTGGCTGTGTGTCTTGTGAGCTTGTTTGTGTCTGTGTGTCGTTCGTGCGTGTCGTCATCATCTGTCCCGCGTCCACCCATACCGCGTTGGTGTCCAGTCCGAGCCTGACTGTTGTTCATCTTTCTACATACTTACATACACAACACAGCAATGGAAAATAACGTACGGGCCCTCAGCGGAGCTGGGAAGAGGACCGACGCAAGCGGCGTGGCGTGGAGCGGTTGAGCATCCCTCCGGGGGCCCCCCTCTGCACCGGGGAGGCGTTGTTGGAGGCTAGGACGCAAGCGTCCGTCGCCCTTTTCAAACTCGGGGCCCACTCCGCTACGCTCCGACCCGAATTTGGAGGGCCTAAAAGTTTAAGGTGTTTTGCACGAACCTGGGCTCCCAAGTTCCGCCCCCCCCCCCCCCCCTCCCTCCTGTGTGTAGGCCGTTTAGTGCTGGCGGGAAGAGGCGCGCCGAGCCATCGGCGACGTCCCGGCGAGCTCATGGGCGCTCAAAAGGTCGCGGACCCGCCCGTCGCTTGCCGCCCCTCTCCCAGCCCTTGCCGGCGACAGGATCACGAACCTAGGGCTCAGTTCCGTCTCCCCCCCCTCTCTCCTGTAGGCAGGCCGTCCCGCGCTGGCGGGAAGAGGCGCGCGCCAGTCGCTTGCCGCCCCTCTCCCAGCCCTTGACGGCGACGGGATCACGAACCTAGGGCTCAGTTCCGTCTCCCCCCCTCTCCCTCCTGTAGGCATGCCCAGAGCCTAGACGCGCTAGAGTGCGTCACATCCCCGTTTCCCGCGCGTTCAGGTCCGTAGCGCCTGTGCGCCCGCCGCGCCCAGCCTCGAGCCCTCAGGCAAGGCTTGCACAGGCCGCGGCGGCGGCAGAGAGGGAACTAAGGGCCAGGCGCGGCCCTCCTCCCGGGGTCGGTGGAGAAAGCTCAGGCGCCGTGCCCGAGCCCGCCGCCCAGCCTCGAGCCCGCCGAGTTGCGCTTGTGCAGGAGGTGGAGGTAGACGAGGACCGCCGCGGCGGGAAGGAGGACGCAGAGGACGCCGAGCACGACGGCCGGCGGCAGCCACCACGGCTCCACGCCGTCGGCGACGGAGTAGAGGTAGTTGAAGGTCGAGATGAGCGCAGCCGCAATCGCCGTCCCGACGAGCGCCACGCCGCGCATCTGCAGGTCGCGCACGCGGCGGATGCGCGCGAGCTCGAGGTTGATCTTCTTGCGGTAGCTGTAGCCGTTGGCGCGGATGTGGCCGCCGGCTGCCTTGCTGAGCCGCGCCTGCAGGCGGAGGGAGGGCCGAGAGCGGCGCTGTCACGAGGGGCTGAGTGTCGATCGCGCCGTGTAGGGCAATCGTTCCACTCTCAGTCGCTGTTGCGGTCACAAAGAGAGGGCGAGTTCTGTCTAGCGGCGCGCCAAGATGTCGGGCGGCGCGTCGCCCTCGATGTCGAAGAGCGCCTTGGCGGCGCCGAGCGCGTCGAGCACCTAGCGAACGGAATAGGGCAACCGAGTCAGTGGACACTGACTGTGAACGAGGAGCGTCCGGGAGGAGAGTAGTGGAGCGAACCTTCTGGTCGCCCGCGATGCAGTCGATGACGGCGATGCCGCGCTCGACGCCGATCTTGCGCCGCAGCTCGAGGACGGACATCCAG